GGCGTAGCCGTGGCGGCCCGCCACGGCTGAAATCCCACCACCATGGCTACAAGATCCCAAGTTTGATTTTTTTTTTAGCTGTTTCCCGAGGAAGCAGCGGGAACTACTATGTTGTCGCTTGTGATCACAGCCGGCAGGCAGCAAGGAGGAGCAGGCAGGGCAGGGTGAAGTTACAGCATAAAGGTAGCAGTGGATATAATGCTTTTTGGTTTACATGTTTCAATAGCATTAAGATAAATGAGCGTTGACGATCTTGACAGGATTTCCTCTTCCCACCAGGATAAGCATCACTTATTCATGTAAAATTTATTTATTTTTCATGTCTGACTTTAACCGCATCTAATACTGTATTACGGCGTGAGCACAACAGCGACAACTTAAGATCGATGTGTGAGCAGCCTGAGAGGTCGGGTGTTTTCATCTGAACCCTTAAAACCTCCAGCAGGCTACGCTGCACTATTGACGTGTTAGCGCGCGGCGCTAACAACTTAGCGACGTGACATGTCTCGGAGAAAGCGTAAACACACGTTGGACGCTTCTTCTGAAGCGGGAAAATAACACCTCTTCTTAAGCAGAGCACGACGTCGCCTCGACTGAGCTCGATAACATTGACCCAGCACAGCCACTGGGTCGTTGGAGCTGCCCCGTGACTGCCTGATGGAAAACCAGCGGGTTTCATCAGACTCGTAAAGTTTCTTGTTTTTGCTGGGGACCCCCTGTATTTTACCGCTCCCTCCTGCAGTCTCCAAATAATAAATAAGAGGTGCATTCATCTGTGTATCTCCTTTGATCCGCATTAGTGATGTTCTCAGCACCAGAACAGTGAAGCAAAGAAACAGATTCCTGAGTTTGTTATAATTTTATTTATTAGGTGCATCTAACCTGTTCTATTTTTCTCTGAAATGAGATCAAATCAGTGCTTCTATGGGTTGTCTCCACTCTGCACTAGAAAATTTTACTTTATTTAGAGACGTGTCATAATTTCAGAGTGCTCTTAAAGCTGCAGTTTGACTTGCTCTCATGTTTCCATAAGACCACCACCCACTCGACTAGGACATTAAATTCACTGAGCTGCATGCTGACTTAGCGACTGCTCTCTGGAGTCACATGTGGAGGCTGTAGTAAGCATTTTGTTTTTGTCTTTAGCGCTGCAGACCATTTATTGCAGCACGGATATACTGAATAGTTTCACAACTTTTAAATCAAAAAGATAATCAGTCCATCGCCATTCTCCTTCCCGGCACCTCCGTTCTGCTGACTCCAACCTCCTTTCCCCTTTCAGAACAAAACATGGCACCATGGGGGATCGAGCCTTTGCAGCCGCTGCCCCCACACTTTGGAACTCTCTCCCACTAAACATCAGGAACGCCGTCTCTCTTTCTACTTTTATGTCACTGCTTAAAACCCACTTCTTTAAATTGGCCTTCTCTTAAGATCAACCCAGCATCCCCCAGTCTGTTTACTATGTTTCATGTTGTTTTATTATGTGTTTATTGCATTTTTTTGTGAAGCCTGACTGACCTAAAAAGTGCTAGACAAGTTTAATGTATTATTATTATTATTATTATTATTATCACTTACAACCGCAGAAGGCAACGTGTGTCCCCACTCCCTGTTCAGCCATTTTCCTGCACCAGATCTGGCGTTTACAGATGTTTCACACCTGTGTGAATAACACAGCTGTCTAAGAGAAAAACCACTTCTCCAACTGATTTACTTATTTACATATCTGAAAGGTGGCAGCCCTACCTGTGTCCATGCTGTCCAGGTCCAGGTGGTGAAGAACACACGATGAATCAGTCCCAGCTGATGGATGATCCTGAAGTGGTAGCAGGTTTTCTTTAGCCGTGTTTAGCTAACAGCTGCAATAGAAACAAAGCAGGAGAGCTGATTAAGATGCTGCTTCAGAACAACGCAGGAGATTAAAGATCCAACGCTTTGGTTCTGATCAGTTGAGGACAGATCCAGTCTGGAAAAGAGGACCTTTGCTCACCAGAGTTCACAGAGTTCTCTTCTGTTCTTCCAGCTACAGACTAAATAGAAGATGGATGCTCTACAAAAATACTAACAACGGTTTCTCCTGTTTAGTTCTGTCTGGTGGCTCACTAAAAGTCAAATCCAGCATGGCAGCATCTCATGGAGCCAACAAGGAAAGCAAGGTGTGATATCAGCAGAGGGCTGGAAGCTGAAAAGGTAAAGAACAACACAACCTGAGGGTTCCTCGTCTCCAGCTGAGCCAAGAGCACTAAAGGGTTTCGTTTAGAGTTTACATGAAGAAGTAGTGAGTTTATTTATTTATTTATTCTTTATTTAACCAGGAAGGTCCCATTGAGATCACAAACCTTACTTTCAAGGGAGTCCTGGCCAAGAGGCAGCTCCACGGACGTGTAATGTACATGAAAACACAGGAATCCCAGCTAAATGAAATTTAGGTGTGTTTTAGCAGAATGCTATTGTGTTCTCAGTATTATTATTGATTACTAAGTCATTATATTATACATTTACTCAGTAGAATGTGTCTTTCTAAGGTTGTATTGATTTTTATTTACATGTAAATATGCATCCCTGAAAAACATCTGCTTAACGAATGCTCTGGAACATCAGCTGGCATTTCTTTTTAGCCTGTTTTGTCTATTTAATACTTGCTACTTGGTTCATTTTCATGCTGAATGCTGTTGAGTAAACTTCTGTCTGTAGCAAGGAGCTGCTGTTGTGTGTGTGTGTGTGTGTGTGTGTTGTGTGTGTGTGTGTGTGTGTGTGTGTGTGTGTGTGTGTGTCTGTTCTATTGATCTCTTTATTAAAACTATTTAACGTAATAAAATAGTTTGTTGATTTTAAACAGGGAAAACCCCACTCGCGATTTAGCGATAGCATGATGCTAACTCCATTAGGCCGCTAGCGTGCTTTCCCTCACAAAGAAACGGTGTCCACTCACCAAGTGAACTGCTCCACTCACTAAAGACGGTAAATGTTCCAGATCCAACTACGTTACTGACTGTACTACCGACTACTGACTACCAAAACTCACCAAGTCCACCGAGTTATCTCAGAACAGCACAGTTTCTAGGTCGTGTCTCAATGGCTTCCAAAGTTGAACCGTTCAAAACAACTCGTGGTTCAACAGGAAGATAAGAGTTCCTCTTTCCTCTTTTCAAAATAAAAAAAGTTTCAAAATAAAACAATGCGAGGAGATGGAGGGCTAGGCAGATTTCACCCAATATAAGCGTTTTATCCAGATCCAGCAGCTGAAAGGATGATCAAGTATTTGATTGCTCACAAGAAAATACCTTCCGATCTTCCAAAACACTGATCACCAGCAGCAGAGACGCCAAGACTCTCATGGATTCCCCACACATCTCATTCCATCTGAGACTACATGCACACAATGTGGACAGAACACTCTTGTTGGTCCTCAGCTGATAACTGCAACTGCTAAAATAGTGACTCATAATGGTGTAGTTAAAGGTTTGCAATTTTCAATGCTTTGATTAGAAATATAGTTAACTGTAGTTTACATCATTCCAGCTCTAGGATGTAATTGTAACATAATTTTTTATCCTTTTAGGTACATCGACATACAGGAAAGTTTGCCCCAACTGTGACATGGTGTAGCGATCAAGACTGGCAAGATGGCGTCCACAACTGTGATGATCATTTGCTACTGTCAATACATTTTTGCCTTGTGTTGAGGAATGCACTGCAGGTTAGTTCATGCTTTTACTTATTAGTTGTGTAAAAAGTAAAGTTCATATTTATTCAATTTAAATTAAACGTTGACACATTTGTCCAAAAATAACTAAAATATTCTAATTGTGTTCTCATATTTCTGCAAACTCAAGTGCACTCAAATGTGTTTTTTTGTGATGTTGAAAAGAATTGCTGCTGTTTTGATTTTTTGAAACAATATCCTGTTGTTCCTCTGTTTGAGAATAAAGTTTCTTGAAAAATTGGTTGCAGTTTATATAAAAATGAGTCAAATGAACTTAATAAAAAATCTAATTACAGGTAAAACTCAAAACATGAGAATATAGTGAAAAAGTTGATTTATTTCAGCAATGAGACTCATTCCATACAAAGCCAGATATTTCAGCCTTTATTTGTTATAATTGTAATAATTATAGCTTACAGATGATGCAAATCCTGCATTCAAAAATTCAGACAATTAGAATATTACATTAAAAACATCCAACACTGCTTTTAAATAGAAAATTGTCAGACATAAGAACTTTGCAATTGGTTTTGCTTTTACTTAAATAAATTAATGTGCAACATTCTAATTTTTGGAGTTTCACATGTTTTTAGAAATTATATTGATATGAAACAAAAATCCATAAAAGTCGTTATCAGCAGCTGTTCAACAGATCCATCCTTTTGGAAGTTATTCTTTTTGCTAAAATGGAAAGTTTTCTCCACACCTTTACCCAATTTTTTCATTAGGTTACATGATAACATAACAAAAAAATTAAATCAGGACAACTCATTTCATTTGGAGACACAGGTGACACTTAGGAGAGCTGATGTTACATCTTTGGAGGAATTAGGTTTAAATATCAGTTTTAAATACTTTGAATAGTCTCATCAAACTCAAATGGTTACAGTTTCCTACAAATAGTATAAAACTAGGCCATTTGTAAAAATCATTCTCATGAGATTTCGAATGACATTGGCGTTTAAAAAATACCACACTAATTTAAAAAAATTAAAGTGATGTGAAAAGTGTGAAGAATCAGTCATTCTTTGATGAAGATTATTGAAAATTATAGTTTAAATGATTGTTGACTGTGTCATGTTTAGTACAACGACGTTCAAAAAATATTGTAATAAACAGTAAATATTTATGAATCAGAAATATAGAAATTACGATAGTTTACATAGAATTATATATTGTTTCATGATTAGCTTGAATAAAGGTTTTTCCAAAACGGTAGCTCGACATTAGCGCCCCCTTCAGTTTTGGAAAGCAATGGCACCGTTTCCATATATGGTATTGTTGTGCCCACTCCCCGCCCCGTGCTACAACTAAGCTAAGCTGTAACCAACTGTAGTTGCCGAGACACGACCTAGAAACTGTGCTGTTCTGAGATAACTCGGTGGACTTGGTGAGTTTTGGTAGTCAGTAGTCGGTAGTACAGTCAGTAACGTAGTTGGATCTGGAACATTTACCGTCTTTAGTGAGTGGAGCAGTTCACTTGGTGAGTGGACACCGTTTCTTTGTGAGGGAAAGCACGCTAGCGGCCTAATGGAGTTAGCATTATGCTATCGCTAAATCGCGAGTGGGGCTTTCCCTGTTTAAAATCAACAAACTATTTTATTACCGTTAAATAGTTTTAATAAAGAGTTCCATAGAACAGACGCGCGCGCGCGCACACACACACACACACACACAACAGCAGTTCCTTGCTACAGACAGAAGTTTACTCAGCAGCATTCAGCATGAAAATGAACCAAGTAGCAAGTATTAAATCGACAAAACAGGCTAAAAAGAAATGCCAGCTGATGTTTCAGAGCATTCGTTAAGCAGATGTTTTTCAGGGATGCATATTTACATGTAAATAAAAATAAATACAACTTTAGAAAGACACATTCTACTGAGTAAATGTATAATATAATGACTTAGTAATCAATAATAATACTGAAAACACAATAGCATTCTGCTAAAACACACCTAAAGTTCATTTAGCTGGGATTCCTGTGTTTTCATGTACATTACACGTCCGTGGAGCTGCCTCTTGGCCAGGACTCCCTTGAAAGTAAGGTTTGTGATCTCAATGGGACCTTCCTGGTTAAATAAAGAATAAATAAATAAATAAACTCACTACTTCTTCATGTAAACTCTAAACGAAACCCTTTAGTGCTCTTGGCTCAGCTGGAGACGAGGAACCCTCAGGTTGTGTTGTTCTTTACCTTTTCAGCTTCCAGCCCTCTGCTGATATCACACCTTGCTTTTCTTGTTGACTCCATGAGATGCTGCCATGCTGGATTTGACTTTTAGTGAGCCACCAGACAGAACTAAACAGGAGAAACCGTTGTTAGTATTTTTGTAGAGCATCCATCTTCTATTTAGTCTGTAGCTGGAAGAACAGAAGAGAACTCTGTTAACTCTGGTGACCAAAGGTCCTCTTTTCCAGACTGGATCTGTCCTCAGCTGATCAGAACCAAAGCGTTGGATCTTTAATCTCCTACGTTGTTCTGAAGCAGCATCTTAATTAGCTCTCCTGCTTTGTTTCTATTGCAGCTGTTAGCTAAACACGGCTAAAGAAAACCTGCTACCACTTCAGGATCATCCATCAGCTGGGACTGATTCATCGTGTGTTCTTCACCACCTGGACCTGGACAGCATGGACACAGGTAGAGCTGCAACAACGAATCGATAAATTCGATGAAAATCGATTACTAAAAGCGTTGGCAACGGATTGCGTCATCGATTCGTTGTGTTGCGCAACTCTTTCAAACCCCCCTCCCCCCGCCCCCGGCCGCCGTTGCGCACAGACCGGAAGCAAGTCAGATCAGCGCGTGGGAGAGCCAGGTGAAGCAGCGAGACCCAAAAAAGTGAAAACTTCTAAAGTTTGGGAGCATTTTCAGTTAAATCAGGCGAAGACATTCGTTACCTGCAACGTTTGTAGGTTAGACTTAGCATGGCACGGGAGTACTACGGTGATGATGCAGCATCTTAAAAGCAAGCATGCCGATACAGCGAGGAGGGAGAGAGCTCTGTGTCCGGGTAAGTTAAAAACTTTTCAAAAGTGATTCACCTAAGCCCCGGATTATTACACAGGCTAGACATGCAATAAGCCCGTAAAAAAAGTCTATAAAATCGTAAGCACGACGCTATTAGATAGGCGGGGGGGGTGGACTCGCGCTGCTGCGAACCGGTTCCGCCGTCACATTCCCGCAGAAACTGGTTGATCACACCGGGGCCAGACTACTAGCACTACGATGTCCTCAGAAGCGAAAACGTTTTTAAAAGGGAGGGAGAAGTACTAACTCTCGCTGCAGGCGTGTTGTGTGAGAGTGTAGTTATACTGTATATGTATACTGGTAAATATATTTTTGGGTTCAGTTGCTTTCATGTGGCCTAATGTGAGTCTATTTGGGATCATTGGAATGATCAGCAGCATTTCTTGATGTGACTTTATGGCAGTTGCCCAGGGCATCATCGCAAGGAGGATGGCATTCATTTACTTTTGTTTTATTTGGTATTTTTTCAGTCATTTTTGGAAATAATGATTAATTTTGATTAATTCACAGCCTATGTTTAATTACATTTAAAAATTAGTTGTTTGACATCCCCAATTATAATGTCTACAGATGAGATCAAACAAAACAGATGAGAATTCCCCTTAAAGAGCAAGTCACCCCCAAATAAACTTTTTTTTTGCTGATAAACTAAATAAACGAGTGTCTAATCGTGCTGCAGACACGTGTCGTCAATAATTTGGCACTTCAGTGCATCTTAGTTCAAATTTAAATATTCTGCCTAAAACTGGCAGTTTTGTGCCGTTGTCAGGTAAAAACTCTGCACTGTATTTTAATTTAAATCTGCCACCGCTATTGGCTAAGAGGTATGCTATGATGTAAACTGGTACATTATGATGTCACAATGCTGTTGTGAGCCTGAGTGTGTGTGTATTTGTTAGCGGCTAGGGCTGCAACAACGAATCGATGAATTCGATGAAAATCGATTACTAAAAGCGTTGGCAACGAATTGCGTCATCGATTCGTTGTGTCGCACAACTCTTCCAAAAGCACCCCACCCCCATCCCCCACCCCCTTCCCGCCCGCCGTTGCACGCAGACCAGAGCAAGTCAGATCAGCGCGAGGGAGAGCCGCAGATCAGCGCGAGGGAGAGCCGGTACCAGCAGATCAGCGCGAGGGAGAGCCGCAGATAAGCGCGAGGGAGAGCCGGTACCAGCAGATCAGCGCGAGGGAGAGCCGGTACCGGCAGATCAGCGCGAGGGAGAGCCGGTACCAGCAGATCAGCGCGAGGGAGAGCCGGTACCGGCAGATCAGCGCGAGGGAGAGCCTGCAGACTTGCGCTGCTGCGAACCGGTTCCGCATTGTTGCACAGCGATCCAGGCAGCTGCTTCCAGCGCACGGTCCATTCTCAAAGTGGCGCAACCAAAAAACTATAATTAGCACACGATCGTTCTTGTCTGCACATGTTCTCTATTTTCTGTCTTATTTGTGCCTGAAGCGCTCTGCTGCGGAGCTCATCACCTGTGCTGTGGTGATGTCACCTCACGCTGCATCGAAAACGAGCTCTCCGCTTTGCGGTCAGGAGATCTCTTTGATCTGCTCAGAAGTAACTGATGAGGTGAAAAGGTAAGAATCCAGGCAACAGATTTTCTGGAGAATTATGAGGAGATGCAGGAAGATGAGAGACAGACAGGACAGGAAAAGAGTTAAATAAAAACAAGAAAACAAAACAAAGTGTTGAAAAGTCAAATGTAGGTAGATTTATCTCCACTACACGTTTTTACCAGTAAAAAACAATAAGTTATACACATGTAATATTTATACATCTGATACAATTCAGATCACCTTCAAAACTCAGTCACACACCCAGGGCCGTTTCAAGACATTTTGGGGGCCAAGGCAAAATGTCCCCCCCCCCCCCAATAACTGGGCTCCCCAGAAGCCTCTGTGTAATTCATACCCTCTCCAGTAGTGTTAGTTATACAGTGTTTGTAAAAGCCCCTCAGACATTACTGACATGTTCTAATATTATCAGATGAAAAACTAAATTATCAGACATGCTGTCTCATCTGCTTCTTTTCTAAACTTGCAAAAAGTAACAAAACCATTTGAAAGCCACTATTTGTGGATTCTCTGAAAGTTTCCATGGAGTGTGTGACAACTTATTTTTTCATTGATCCTATCGTCTAATCTCACAGCTGAAACAAGCATCCTTAATAATCTGTGCACAGGAAGCTTACCGATGCTGTAGTAAAACAAAAGGTATAATAATTTATTATTAATAAAACCTTGTTGCAGCACTAAAGCATAAAAATGAGCTTTTGCATTAAATATGCAAAATATTTACATATGAATTGTTTTAGAGCCCTTTTATTGGCAGAATCTGATATTAATTTAGTTCTTACAAAAAATGGGTCCCAACATGGTTTGTGTGGTGTTGCCATAGTGTGACGTCATAGGCACAGATCCCCTGTCCTCTTGTTTGGAAATGGAAATATGATCACCCTACATTAAACAAACTGTCCACCCGGGCTTTTGCGCTGCACAGAGACGCTTCGCTGCCTATGACTCTGAACGTCAGTTGAGAGTCAGTCTCATGCAGACTGACCAATGAAGAGAGGGCCTCAAGTTAAGACCCTCTCCTCATTGGTCAGTCCACACGAGGTGGGTCAAAGGTTACTCTGGGCGGGTTACGTGTTGTCAGGCATTCAAGTATTGAGTATATTTACTGCATATTACAGTAAAATATTCTGTATGTGACCACATTATGGTGATCCTCGGGTCGTGATGATGGAGCCCTTGAATATTGTTGCCCTGGGTACAACAAAGTGTTAATCTGGACCTGGTTCCGCCGTCACATTCCCGCAGAAACTGGTTGATCACACCGGGGCCAGACTACTAGCATGTGGTTTTACAACCACAATGTCCTCAGAAGCAAAAACGCTTTTAAAAGGGAGGGAGGAGTCCTAACTGTTGCTGCAGGCGTGTTGTGTGAGAGTGCAGTTATATACTGGTTAATATATTTTTGGGTTCAGTTGCTTTCATGTGGCCTAATGTGAGTCTATTTGGGATCATTGGAATGATCAGCAGCATTTCTTGATGTGACTTTATGGCAGTTGCCCAGGGCATCATTGCAAGGAGGATGGCATTCATTTACTTTTGTTTTATTTGGTATTTTTTCAGTCATTTTTGGAAATAGTGATCAATTTTGATTAATTCACAGCCTATGTTTAATTACATTTAAAATAAATGTCAACAGATGAGATCAAACAAAACAGATGAGAATTGCCCTTAAGCTGTTTAACTTGGACCAAGCATTTTAGGTCACAGATAGATGTAGCTTAGGGTCTCTGTCTATACACCTTATAAGACAATTTAGGTGATGGCATGTTGTTTTTCTGCTATTGAACTGTTTTCTAATAATGTTGTGTTAAATAAAGTGAAGGAAGGAGAGAAATAACGTTTCCCTAGCAGTTTTTAAAAATTTCCCCATGTAATCCGATTAATCGATTAATCGTGTCGAGACCCCATCCGATTAATCGATTATCCAAATAATCGTTTGTTGCAGCCCTATTAGCGGCTCCGCCCTCTCGGTCTGCCAGGCAACAGCATGTGTTGCATTTTTCAAACATGAAGCGGGAGTGGAGTTAGACTCTGGTAGGGGTTGACTTGCTCTTTAAGCTGTTTAACTTGGACCAAGCATTTTAGGTCACAGATAGGTGTAGCTTAGGTTCTCTGTCTATACACCTTATAAGACAATTTAGGTGATGGCATGTTGTTTTTCTGCTATTGAACTGTTTTCTAATAATGTTGTGTTTAATAAAGTGAAGGAAGGAGAGAAATAACGTTTCCCTAGCAGTTTTTAACAATGTCCCTATGAAATCCGATTAATCGTGTTGAGACCCCATCCGATTCATCGATTATCCAAATAATCGTTTGTTGCAGCCCTAGACTTAGGTACTGGTGGATAAATGACTAGCTGTTGTTACAGGACCAGAGCGTTTCCAGATTTGCCGCGGCTCCCTGGGGAGGATTTTGGCATTTATAGTAGCAAAGCTGAAGCTAGAATAAACTGCCATCAGGCACCTCTCAAACCAAGACGGGATATAGGGAGGTCGCTGGGCGCCCCCCGCATGTGACGTTCAGGGTCGCGCGATCAGCGTCGGATGGAAGACACGTCAGACTGATGAAATTTCTTTTTCAGAACCTTTAGCTTTGATGTGACCTGCTTTTTGTCCCACTTGACGCCCCGCTCAGCCGGTGCTTTCACCACTGTCGAACAGCTGGCTGTCTCTCACCCTCCCCGTAAAAAGGCATAGCATAGCATAGTTTATTTATATAGCACATTTAAAACGCAGCATGGGAGCTGCCCAAAGTGCTGCACAGCCTAAAACAAAACACAACCATTTGAAAGAACTAAAACAGGATAAAAATCCCATTCAAAAGCAGATAAAACATGATGAATACTAAGAACACATTAAAACAATGATACAATAAAACACTAAAACGAGTCACTGTCTAAAAGCCAAAGCGTAAAAGTGGGTCTTTAAACGAGATTTAAAAACCGCCAGAGATGGAGCCTGCCCAACTCCAATGCGCAATGAGTTCCATAGCTTTGGGGCAGCATGGACAAATGCTCGTTCACCCCGCGA